GCGTGCGTGCGTGCGTGCGTGCGTGCGTGCGTGCGTGCGTGCGTGCGTGCGTGCGTGCGTGCGTGCGTGTGTGTGTCTCTAATGCTATTTCATGGGATTATCTGGATTCATTCCTATTACATAAACACAGCTCGCATAACGGCCGCTGTGTCCCTCTCTGGGGAATGCATAAAAACGCTTCATAAGTGTGTGTCTGATTAGTTCTAGTTAAGCTTCAGGCTGAGGCTCGGAGGACAATACGAGTCAGAGAAAGTTACACAGAGAAAAGACATTCTGGAAACATGTCAGTCAGCTGCTGCTGGGTGTGATAATGTATCATACTGTAAAAGCAAACATGGGAGGAACCTGGGAACTAAGAACAACCAAAACATGAACCAGTGGAGCAAGGTTCAATCTAAAATTCAATATTACAAATCTAAGGAAAAATGCACAGAAAATGCTTCATTCATTTTTTTAAACTTTATAAAATTAAAATGTTCCTTCTTTTGTATTGCTCAGTATCACCTCCTTGACTGTTAATGTACTTGTTTATTCATATTTATATTTTTACATTAAGTGTTAACTTTTCATTCTTGATTGTACTGTAACACTAGTTGTTCACTTAAAAATAACAACGTGCAAACCAACATAGCAACAAGTAAAATATACTTATATGTACATTTTAAATATATATTTTCACTTTTAATAGAACTGTTTTCCCTTATTTGAATAAATCTGTGTCACCAATTTATAATTTTTACATTTTGTATAAATATGTATGAAGAATTCTAGAAAACCTATGTTTCTATTGGTTTCTCTGAGCAGGTTCGATACACCAAAGCAAGTTTTCCAATAAAAAAGTACACTTCAAACATAACAATTGTGAGCTAATATCCATGTAACTGCACTTTAATTTGATAACTTCCAATAATCTGAATAGCCTCTTTGACTTTGCACAGTGCATTGGTTGGTTGTAATGTGAGCAGATTAGCAGAGTAGGGGGGGTTGGTCCTGCTAAAACGTCCAGATTAGCCGAGTGTTGCCTAATTCCTGCAGGGGGGCTGAACGTTCCTGTGGATTTACAAACACTATCGTTTAACAGGTGATCCCGGCTGGCTGTATTTACCCTCCTGCAGCTCTGGGTGTGGCGTCCCTCCATCTGTTCTGGGTGGCCTCCTTCGCCCTGCAGCTCATGGATCTGTCAGGGTGTTGTCACAAACAGTGGCTGAAATCACCATCTGCTTCCAATTACACTATGACAATCTGCAGGACGGTCGCCAAGAACCAGCTCTGTGAGGGACTATAGTTTTTAGCCAGAGGGGGAAAAGGAGCCAGAGGGGGAAAAGGAGGCAGAACCTGGAAACTAAAACCAGGACGTGGAGCTGACTTTTAATTGTGGTTGAGCTGAGTCATGGAGCTGGGGGTTTGGAAACTTTTCCGTTACTCTGTGGATTCCTCCCCGTTCATTCTGAGTGACTAACTTCCAGTTTGGAAATGTAGTTAAGACATGAAGGAGATGTTGAAGCGGTGAAAGCATACATCTATTTCTTTTCAACAAACTGGAGCAGAAACAGGTCGGACTTTCAGAAGTGGTGACTTTTCAACATTTCTTGCATCTTTATTAATACTAAATGAAAGTTGCATGATCCTGGATGTTTTTATACAAACTATTGCATGGCAAACAGATGCATGCATACTCAAATCAGCCTCTTAAACTGCATTGTTCTGAAGTAAGATGTTGCACCTAAGTCTCAGATATTAGCTGTTAAACAATGTTGACATTGTGGAAAAGGCTTTTCAACAACTTCCTACTCCTTTCACTCTGGATTATGTTTTCTTTGTGAGCAATTTATAAGCAATGGAGGAGCAAACAGCCATCCTAAAATTCTTCAGGGTCCTTACAGAGGAGGAGGACGAGGATGTTATTCAAGGAGACACTGAGCTGAGTTTAGATATAAAGAAAAATGTCTTTGAGGAAGCTGTGGAGAACAGTAGAGAGTCCTTATCGCATGTTAAACTGCTTTATGATGGGGAGACTTGTAATACAGTGAGACATATAACTAAAGGAGAAGCAGGAAATGACTCAGACATGGCAGAGGAGGAGAGGTGTAATGTCAACCTAACAGAGCAGCAAAGTGTGGCTGCCAACGCTGAACATGTCTCAGAGAAACAGACCTTTGCAACAAATCAAGACGAGAATAAGATGCCATACGACAAAGTTAACGGCTACAGCAACGAGGGTTGTCACATATCGGAGAACTCGCTGGATGAATGTGCCTTGAAGGAAACCGTGCAACCAAAATATCAACATACTTCAACTGACTGCATGGATACAGGCTGGGATTCTCATTCCAAGCAGGATGCCACTGAAGAAGTTAATAAGAAAGAAAGAAAAGATTATGAAAATGTTCACATGCAGGATGATTGTGTCCCAAATGCTTCCAGTTCGGATGTCGGTTCTGACCCTGAGGAATCTGAGAAAAGTAGATCTAAAAATATAGTGATCACAGCGACTCGGACAAGACCTGACGTTGAGGAAGAACCGATATTAACACCAACATTTGAGCATGCTGATGGCTCATCTCATATCCAAAATAAAGAGGGGAGGACCGGATCAGATGAGGTAAGCGAAGAAGAAGAAGAAGAAGAAGAAGAAGAAGAAGAAGAAGAAGAAGAAGAGAAAAGAGATGCATTTCCAGACTTTTCCCCCCCACTTTACCCTCCAGCCCCAAAAGACCCTCTTTCCATAACATCTGCAACCCATAACCCTCCACCTGGATCCACCTTCACCAGAGCCACCTTTAAACCGAGCTCCCCCACCGACAAACAGATCCAGCTCCCGGCCCTCTTCAGCGGGCTGAGGGTCCTGAGGAAGGGGGTCGTCGGGCCCGAGCACGACACCGTGGCCCGGATCAAAACCTCATCACCAGCAAAGAGGGACATTTTCCCTGATAAACAATCGGACGGTAAATCTCAGGGGAGCTTCCTGGACCAGATCTCACAGCTGCTGAACCGGGAAAAGAGCGAAGATGAGACCGAGGAGACCAAAGAGACCAAGGAGACCGAGGAGAGGACGGAAAGGGAGGCTGAAGCAGATGAGACTGATATGGAAAAAAGTCAAGAGGACGAGAGGGAAGAAGTTGAAACAGAGAAGGAAGCAGAGGTTTCATCTGAGTCCACCAAGCCTCCTGCGTCCAGTGCAGAGGCGGCATTCGATGCCTTCAAAGCCTTTTTCACCCCAAAGCCTCTGAAGAGGGACCCGGCTGAGAAGATAGACCTGGACGCAGTGAGGAAGAAGATAAGAGCAGATAAAGATGTGCTGAAGGCGCTTTTTGAGAGAGCCTCCAATAAGACGCAAGAGAAGAAAGACTCCCCTGATGGCAAAGTAGGAATTGTGTATCATCTAGAATCGACTAACGTTACTAAAGACATGATTGCAATACCGACCCTCATGTGAAGAAGCTCTATTTGTTATAGATTATGTTGTAAATCTAATGTCAAACTCTTTTTTTCATTTTAGTCAGAAGCGTCCACCCCAGGAGATGGAGAGGAGAGAACGCCAGGTCGCCTTCAAGCTGTCTGGCCACCACTGAAGGAGGAGAAAGTTGGGCTGAAATACACAGAAGCAGGTACAAAAATACAACATCCACACAGATGCATTATGTTAAACAATAATATGAATGCCATGCAGTGAATTTGACGGCAGTGGAGGGAGTCGCCGTGTTTACTCTGTGATATCAGGTGGTGGACGTAATATCAAGCAAACACAGCTCCACCCTGAGTGTGTCCACAGCAAACATCCACCACCTTCAGTTGTGAAGGAATTGACATGACTACTGTACACACTGTGGTGCCTTGAAGCAGCTTTGTGTACATTTAAAACATATATTCCAGTACAACACTACCACTCTCAATGCTAACATGTATGCTGGAATTAACTACTCTATGGCCACTTTAACAAAAACTGGAGAAAAGTCCAACGAACTTGATGTCTGAGCTGCTGGATTGTAAGATTATACATGTATATGTAAATAAGGTGGCCCATCAATAATAACACCAGAATGAAAGATGCAATAATGACATAGAAACACGTTTGATTGCATGAAACCATATGGTGGCTGCAAATAAGGTGTCAAATGTTTATAAAGGAAAAAAAAGGTCAAACACTTTTGGTTAAAGGTGGGGTAGTTTAGTTTGAGAAACCGGCTCGAGATACACTTTTTTGTTATATTCCATGCTCTCAACATCCCGATACCAATGAATATCTGAAGTGCTTTGACAATAAATACATAGGAACATTTCATCTGAAGCCGTAGTACAGTAAAAAGCACGACCAATCATCTGAGCCGGCCCTGCTAAAGTAACTGGATGGCCTACCTGCCTGCCAGCCTTCCATCTACGCACAAACTTATCTCGTGCCCTCATTGGTCATGTGCACGTTCGTGTGGGAGGGTCTCTGTAAGGAAGTGGCAGATTTTTTCCGGCTGTGTATTTTCAAATTCTAGCGCACTCGAGCCGGTTTCTCAAACTTACCTACCCCACCTTTAAAGACATACAAGTGATCCTGCTTGTAAATGACACCACCTTGCACTTACTTCCTATTATCAAAGGCTGCTTGTGCATGGATAAAACTGCAGGCACACACCCAAATACATTTCCTGTAGGAACTGTTAAAGTTAATACACTTTCTGAATGATAGGCACCCATTAGCAGATAAATGTTAGCTTGACCTCTTTGTATAGAGATCAGTCAGCTGTGTGCCAGTGTGTATGGGTTTTCCTTTCATTCAAAGCTCTACTGCCATCATCTGGTCAAGGTTTGTATTGTTAGTTTGTCCTCAAGCAGCCCTCCGCTTCCTGCAGTGTTCAAACATGAATTAGATTTTTCATGCAGAATCAGTGACAGTTCTTAAGTCTGACTGTTTTCTTCCCCGACAACATCACCAACGTAAAGTAAAGCACTCTAGGGCCACACTGCTGTAATAATTAACGTAATGGGGCGAAGCCTGCGAGCTAGTTCAGGCAGTCAACTGGAGCACCAATGATACATTAACACGTGACGCACCTCGTCCCTCTTACATCCAACCAAACACATTCTCCTAAACATGCCGCTCTATTGAAGCTGCCAGGTCTTCCTGCCTCTGCCTCCTCGCTATGCTGCTGCCACTGCTGTGTTCACTTGCTATTGCTGCGTTCATGTTCCTGCTGCTGTGTTTCATGTTGCTGCTGCTCGCCTTCCCCCCCACCACCTCCCCAGCCCCACCCCAGCTTCCACCTTTAGGCTCGGGGATGGTTATCTAATTATCACTCCATGTTCTTTGTAAATCTGTGGAGTGATGAGGCCCGAGCCTAGACGCCAAACTCAAACTATATGCTGCTTCTAATACACATATTAAGAAACACGTGAGTTGTCTGACTGAAATGTGTTTGTTGTAAGAAGTTTAAAAAAAATATTCTTCTGTGTTTCCTGTCAGAGCACCAGGCCGCTCTCCTGCAGCTGAAGAGAGAATGCAAAGAGGAGCTGGAGACGTTGCAGGTCAGTGACAATGATTGAGTCAGGATAAGGAAGAAAAGTGCTTATGGGTCCATAATCGTAAAAATATTGAGAAAATCAATTGAAAAATTGCTGGAAAAGACTAAAAAACGTTAAAAAAATGTGAAACTCAAAATATAATGAAAAAAAAAAGTCCAATCATTTGAACAAAATTAAATAATATTTACTTACATTTAAATGTCAGATGCTGTCGACTGGCAGCTTTAGACTATTCTCAGGAATTGTCAATGTCTCTTGTACGCCATGTAAAGGTTTCGGATACCAACTGTACTTACTGTATTGTGTATGTCTTTGCTTTATTGTAACTAAAAGAAAAATTCAAAATAAAGTATTACATTTTTTTTTAAATGTCACTGTAGAAAAACACCTTTTGTGTCTTAACTGATATTATTTTCAGGAGGACTTTGGTCAGCAGCTCTCCAGACTGCGGGTGGAGAACGAGGACAACGTGTCCCGTCTGGAGTTCAGTGTCTCCGAGCTGCAGACCCTCCTCTCCCAGGCCGGGACCCGGCGTCACGGGGAACTCAAAGACGTTGCTGTGTCAACGGAAGACGACTTCTTACACAAGTCTTTCCGCACAGTGTGCATCCAGACCGACAGGGAGACATTTCTTAAGACCCCTGAGGATGGAGAAGGTGCAACGAGAGCGAGCACGGGCCCCCAGCAGCAGAGGGTGACCCCCAGAAAACTGGACCTGACGTCTATCAGCCTCAGCCTGGCCGGACACAGGGACGATACTTCCTCTTCATCACATGACCCTCCATCACTTCCTCATATGCAGACTCCATCAGTACAACCACTAGCTGCTTCTCAGACAACCAAAACACACATCCTGCCTCCTCCTCCACCTCCTCCACCTCCACCATGTTTTTCTTCACCCCTTAACCTCATGCAGACGTCACATATAGCTCCCCCACCTCCTCCACCTCTTCCCTTCACTCCAGGCTTTGCTCCCCCACCTCCTCCACCTCCTCCCTTCACTCCAGGCTTTGCTCCCCCACCTCCTCCACCTCCTCCCTTCACTCCAGGCTTCGCTCCCCCACCACCTCCTCCTCCAGCTGGGGGTTTTATTGTTGAAAAACCTCCAAGGAAGCAGACAGTGGAGCCGTCCCGACCCATGAAGCCTCTCTACTGGACCAGAATCCATATCCAGCACAACAAGTAGGGTCAAACACTGCTAGTAAAAATAAACGTATTCTTACTTTTTATTTAAATATAATGTTAAATACATTAAGGTTTTTTTAAATTAGGTATTGTATGAATTCACTTGGTAAAACATTTGCAATCTACTAGGAAAAGAAAGCTCAAAAAGATCTTAAAGCAGACTTTTTAAATATAAATAATGCAACAAAAAAAAATCAAGATACTTATTTTATCGGTTCAGTTTTTTACATTTTGTAAATGAAATGATTATCTTATTGTACTGCCCCACTTTAAACACCTTTTT